CTGCTGGCTCCGGCTCAGCTCCCTGTCCATGCCAACTCCCAGGTCCCTTCCTGCCTGGTGCTCTCCAGCCACTCTGTCCCAGCCTGGAGCGCTGTGTGGAATTGGGATGGCCAAAGGGCAGGACCAACCCATCACCATCTTGTCAACCAGTCACAACTGAACCAAATCCTTCAGTGTCACATGTGAATCTGGCACTGAACTACCCCAGAGCTGTCCCTGTGGACCCTCAGCCTGTTCCACCAACTTCTACCTCTGATCCCTTGGCTCAAACCTCCAACCTCACACGTTTCCACTCTGCGGTTGTGGAGCACAAGGAGAGACAGGTGAGGAATCATCAAGGTTGGAAGTGATCTCTAAGAGCATCAAGTCCAACCCTTAATCTGTCTCTGCTGGAACCCCTAAACCAGATCCTCCAGTGGCACATCCTTACACCTCTTAAACACCTCCAGGGATGATGACTCCACTACCTCCCTGGGCAACATTCCAATCCTTGACCACCGTAACAGTGAAGAATTTCTCCTAACCTCTCCTCTGGCTCTGCCCTGGCTCAGCCCAAGGCCATTCCCTCTAGTCCTCTTCCTGCAGCCAGGGCAGGAGAGACATCCAACCCTCTCAGGCAGTTGTAGAGAGTCACAAGGTCACCCCTGAGTCTCTTCTCAAGGCTAACCAACCCCAGCTCCCTCAGCCCTTCCTCACACGACGTGTTCTAGGCCAGCCCAGTTGCTTTTCGGACACAGGATTTGAGTGATAGTTCTCCTGTTTCCTTATTCTGGTTCTTCCAAGGATGTTTCTACTCATCCAAAATGCCCCAGGACAAGGCTGAGTGGCTTAAGAATGACCTTAGCCCTCAATCATGGTTGGACCAGGTGACCTCCAAAGATCCTCCCAACTCCAATTATACATCAGTCCATGACTTTGGCATTGCCAGAAGATGGAAGAGACTGGAGAGGGTTTAAATTGGAAGCAGAGACACTGAACCAGGGTAAGCAGAGCACCCTCAGCATAGACAACACCCACAGCAGGCACTGAGAACCCTAGGAAAGCTCACTAAGGCTCAACAGAAACTCAAAATTCTCTTCAGTCTCTTGGCATGTCTGTTCAGTTGCATCATGGAATGATGAGGGGAAATGTCTGCAGGAAGTTTTTGTGGTTACTAAAAATATCATACAAAACAAAGTGTCAAATCCAAAGAAATGTCACTTGGATCTTGTGGATTTCTGCTGCGAAGGGAAAACTGCAAAGAAAACTGATTGTTACCAATGTCAGCAGCAATAAATCCAGACAAAACCATCGATTTTCCCACCAAGGTGTGCGGTGAGCCCTGCAGGAGACCCTGGGGCTGTGCAGCCACCAGAGCCCGAAATCTCACCGTTTTTCCCTGGGATTTTCTCGAGCAGGTTGAGCAGGATCTGGTTCAGCCTCTCCCTCTGCAGGTGCCTCCTCTCCTCGGGGCTGCACAGCTGCCTCGTGTCCGCAGGGCTCTCCTCCCCCTTCTTGTCAGCCTCGCAGCCCTCGCTGGCCACAGGCTCCTTGTCAGGCTCCTCCAGGCTGGGCAGCTCCCCCTGGGCCTGCTCTGGGGCTCCCAACACATCCTCCATCAGGGGCAGGGAATCCTCTTCTGGGTTTAAGTCTTTGATCTGTGGTTTTGAGCGATCTGATTTCCAGGATGACCTGGTGGGAGAGGAAAGAATCACAGAATC